TTTCTCTGGCGATCCTGTGCATAAAACTGAAATTTAAACAGGTCGGCATTTTACCGGTAAACCGGAAAATCAATGCATAAATTAACTTGTCAGAAGTGTGAATTGCCTCCTGCCAGTACGGTAACGGCCTTGCCGGTACGGCTAATGACCTTCGGGTACGGTAAAGCAGCGGCCGGTACGGTAAAGCAGCGGCCGGTACGGTAAAGCAGCGGCCGGTACGGTAAAGAAACGCATGCCGCAGGAGACTCACAGGAAACCGGCTTGGTGGTAATGATCAGTTCCCTTATTGAAAATAATGTTGTTTTTTAAGTAGAATTATGCATATTTTTATTCCAGGGGCCATTTAACTTTATGATTTACTATGATCTTAACGAATTTGAAGCTGAATTTTTATGACTATGTGCGCATGTAATTTTTTGACGTAATTTTCTGTTTCTTTTCCTTATTATTCTATTGGTGTCCTTTACTTCATTTCTTTACCTACCTGTGTTTCTGGTTGTTACTTCAAATCTCCTTGGTTTTAAAAGATCCACACGGTAAGCCTAGACACAGAGCTCCCTCGATGGCACAGAATGGCATGATTTCTGCATGTGGCCCATCGAGGGCACTGTTCAAGTGGCTGGCTATTCACCAGTTTGTTCTTGGTGTAGTAAATACTAACTTTAGGACCTCTCCTATGTTATAACTGTTTAAACCTGCATGTCATCCTCAAGTTTGATGGTGTACCTGGCTGAAATGTGTTTGTTTAGATTGCCAGCAAGTATTAGACACCTGTATGGATGACAAATCCAGTCAAAAATATTAATATTTATATGCTTTTTCAAGTTACAAATTAAAAAACCTGAAAATAGTTGATTGTTTTTTTATAATGAACTGAATGTGATTGGATTTGACCTGCCATGCATACTAGTTTAGTTTATGAACTAATGATTGCTTACTTGTTAACTAGGGAATGAATATCGCTGGTTACAAATTTGCAATGGAATGCAAGGGTGGTTGGATATGAAGGGGGTATTGAATTTCACTATGCCTTGCATTGAAAACTGCTTTCACTGGAGAATTCACAGAGCACCATGAGTTAGTTAGTTGTGTGAAGTTTCACCTGCATCAAACAATAACGCAATGCACAACAATAGGAAATATTAATTGTCTAGTGTATGGTATAGTGACACTTCATTGAGGTATTTTTAAAGATCTGTTGAAATTCATCAGTGTGCTAATAATGTTAGAGGGAGCACACCTCTAAAGAGTCATTATAGATCCTGAAACCTCAGTAAGGGTAGAGTAGGAAATCAAACGGGCGGTGCACCACGGTCATTACCGCGATGGTGGTGGGTGCTCGCCGGTCGACCGCATTTTATGCAAATTTATGCATAGATTCGATGACGCCGGCTGACCGCTGTCTTCCGTGGTGGGCTCGCACAGCAATTCACGCTTATTGTCAAGACCATTAATGAACACAAAGAACTGGGAAATTAAAAGGTTCACAAAGTTCTAATGAAAAATTAAACCAATTTGGCTGAGCCAAAAGCTAGGAAACTAGTCTATAATAGTTGACATTATTTTATTTGCCTGAGCCTTGGAATAAAATCACAAAACTATCCATAAAGACGTAGAGATCAACATAATACAAAATATGATCGCATTATTTTGTGAATATATATCATGCATGGTCTCAGAAAAAGTTTAGAAAGATTAATGTTTCGCGTAGACCAAATATAATCACGCACAAGTATAAATTCAAAGTGTTTTAATACATTGGTGCGAGGTCACATTTACGTAAACAAGAACCATGCACTAAGAAGGAAAAGCAAGCCAAAGTTGAAACAGGGTGTATCATGGACTTGGTACAACATGCCCTGCGACAATTGAGTGATCGTCGACATCATTTTGGGGCACAATTGAACTTCAAGTATGTTGCGAAACTTGCTACGCGGCGATACTGACCTTTCCTACGACCACGGTTGCAACCGGTACCGGTGGCCACCGCGGTAGAGACCCCTAATTATAAGCAGTCCGTGGCTCTCCCCGGTGTACCGCGGAGAGCCGAGGTGATTACCGCGGTGAACCGCCCGTTTAATTTCCTACTCTCCCCAAATTAAGACGTGAACTATTTTGGTAAGATGCCACAGGCCCCCGTATTTGGGCACTGTTCCTCTGTCTGGAAGAAACCCTGATGACCTTACAATTTTTAATGTAACTGTGATGTAAGGAAATTTAATGACTGAACTAAGCCTTTCAAAAATGTTACAAATTGTTTACTTATTTATTTGAGAGTGTTTCAGAAAACCAATTGTCTGTACCCTCTATTAAATAAACAATGGATTTTTTCCACATGCACATTTTTTATATTTTCATAATAATAAAGTCAAAATCAGAAACTGAAAAAACAATTTAAGACTTTGACAGTAAGTGCAGTGCGTGCATAAGATTGACAACTACTATAAATAGAAAAAAAAATATTGTGCTTTGATGTAAAATCAAATCATTAGCTTCAGTAACCATGCAGTCAGCAGGCTCTGAACCTTATCAGCAGTTGTGAAAGTATTCTATTCTATTGATACAATGCCCACTGCCAGATATATCAGCGAGATCGTCACGTCATGAACAATATGATAGTTAATGCCCTTGTTTTTATTCATCCATGCCTCACACCTCTAACCATCTGCTCAAATTGTACTTTCAAAGCTTATTGCTGATGTTGTTGTTTATATAGATGGAACGGTTATTACACAGTGGCCCCTAGCAATGTCTATAGAGGTTGGTGATGATGCCACTTTGAAATGTCGAGCTACGGCTGACCCTGTATTAGATCTGACTTATATATGGTTATTGGATGGTGTTCAGATTGACGTTCTTGATGATTCGCATTATGCAAGGGTAAGTTCAAGACAACCAAACAGAATTTCTGTTACTACATCCGAGCAGTCGCAGATGCTTCTTAAACAAAATGTGTAAATGTGAAAACTAAAGGTAGTCACCATTCCTGTCACACGATGGGAACCATCAAGACAACCAAACAGAATTTCTGTTACTACATCCGAGCAATTGCAGATGCTTCGTAAACAAAATGTGTATCACTGAGTCTATTGTATTCTTTGTAGCTGCATGGCTATCTCTCATTACCAGTTACTAGTTTGCTTTTAAAAAAAAACTTTTTCTATACGTCTTGGGGACAATAATGTGGTTATA